TCCTACTGAACTCAGCTCATGGTAAATAATAGGGTGCATTTATTGCAACAGAAGAGGAAGATGAAGATTAGAATTAGTTTTCAGAAATAGTTATAGGGACTGTCTCTTGGAGCTTGAAGAGAGAGAAGAAAAGTTAGATAAAACTGAGCAACTTTTCTCCTAAGTCCAGCGACTAGTGTACTGCCTAGCACATTATGTTTGCTACATAAATGTCTGCAAAATTGAGTCCCTTCGTGGTTCATTGAGAACTAGAGGAATTGAAATAATCCCACTGCAAAGAGCAGTCCAGGGTACCACTACCTAGTATTAAAATGAGGATTCGGTGATTCACACCAAATTTCTTACTTAAACCTAAGGTAGCCATTATGCTTTTATTATATCTTTTAATCAGCCATCTATGTAAGTGTATGTTAAAAATCTTGTTAAGCTAAAAGGAAATAATGATTATCAGTAATATTATTAATAATATTATCAGCAATATCAGTATTATCAAATCAATTCTATATTTTTAACATCTTAGAATTATGACAAAAATTCATTTCTATTGAGTATTTAAAAAATACATGCCTGGATGGCTCAGTTGATTGCATCTCTGACTCCTGATTTTGGTTCAGTTCATGATCCCAGGGTTGGGAGATTGAGCCTTGCTTCTGGGCTCTACACTGAGCCTGGAGCCTAAGATTCTCTCTCTCTCTTCCTCTCCCAATCTTTCTTCTTCCCTTCTCCCTCTACCCATCTTCCTGCTCGCATTCTCTTTTTTTGAAATAAAAAAAAAATACATGCACATAAGACATATCTGTGTGTACATAATACTTTGTGTGTGTGTGTGTGTGTGTGTGTGTGTGTGTGTGTGTATTAACAATAGTACTTTAAAGTGGGATCACTTTCCGTATTTGCATATTGTAACTAATTAACAGCAACTGTAATATCATCCCAAGGGAAAGGTCTACTGGCAACTTATTCATTATCTTCTATTATTGTGTATCATATTAAAATGACAGGCATCTTACAATGTACAAGTCATCAAAAATTTTGGCTGTTAGAACTAAAAGCAATTTAGCTAAAACTGTTTCTACCTTCATGATGAGTGAAATTTATCCAAAGGGGACATGAGCTTATAGTATTTCTTCAATATCTGCCTTGAATTTAATGGCACAAAGATTACATGTAAGAGAGCAATAAATTAATTTTACTAAGTACATAAAAGACAAGGCCAGCTGCTCCTGAAATGGGCACAAACTCTGCATCCAACAATGAAAATATAATGGTGTTTGTAATAAAATGTAAGCAAGTTGCAGATCTGTGTGCTGTTTCAGGAATAAATCACCTATCCTCCTTCGGAGCCATGCAATTTGATAAATTATCCTTGAAGGAAATGTTATCGGAGCTCCCATTTAATAAGCATGTTTGAGCTTTCAAATTAGCATGTAAATAAATGTATAGCTGTAAAGTTGTTGGTGTCCTGATTGATTTCCTCAAGTTCATCTCACTAGCTATTGAATCTTATGAAACAATCTCAATTCTTATCAGTATAGTATACTCTGTTTTCAAGTATAAAGTTCTGGGAGTTGAACTTATTATTACATCCGTGTTAGAACTGCACGTGTATCAGGGTGCCTGGGTGGCTCTGTTGGTTAAGTGTCTGACTCTTGGTTTCGGCTCAGGTCATGATCTCACAGTTCGTGGATTCGAGTCCTGCATCGGGCTCTGCGCTAATGGGTCAGAGTCTGAAGCCTGTTTGGGATTCTGTCTCCCTCTGTCTCTGCCCCTTCCCTGCTCTCTGTCTCTCAAAAATAAACAAACATTTGAACGCCTGGATGGCTCAGTCAGTTGTGTCCAATATCAGCTCAGGTCATGGTCTCGTGGCTCGTGAGTTTGAGCCCCGCGTCAGGCTCTGTACTAACAGCTCAGAGCCTGGACTGTACTTCGAATTCTGTGTCTCCCTCTCTCTTCCCCTTTCCTGCTCACACTCTTGTCCCTTTCTCTCAAAAATAAACAGACGTTAAAAATTTTTTAAAAACTAAGTATTAAAAATTGTTAAAAAGAACTGCACATACATCAAATTTTAATTAACGTGTATTTAAAAAAATTAATTTAGGTTCTTGTTACAATGTACTACATTTTCAAGGAGGAGGTTCTAGTATGTGAACCTACTACATACTTGTTGGAATTACACACGTATCGAAACTCAGCTAACTTTATCCTGTTAATAAGAAATACTAATTCATAGCGACGTATTTGTGGTTTATTTAAGTGCACCTACCTGGCTTAAGGCTTCACTGGTGATTTTGACTAAAATATGCTCTGTACATCCCAAGCTACAGCTGCAGTGCATTCAACAATTGATTCCAAGCTTGAATTGGTAGTGTTATCCCAAGTCCTCTCATTTCTTGATAATCACAGAAGTGGGAGGCACTTCTTATCATCTAGCTTCACTGCATTATATAACGATCAGGGCCCTAAGGGATGGAGGCTTCCTATGACTTGGCTAAGATGCTTTGTTTATACATGGCTGTGTTGACCCAGATCTCGGCCTGTCTGGTCCCAGTTTTCTTTGGCCTCTGCGACCCTCCAGGGCCTTCCCGCTATCATTGCCTCACCTATCCCATTTGTCTCTGTAGGATTTATATTATTATTATTATTATTATTATTATTATTATTATTATTATCTGGGGTGGTTAGACCATGTGTATAGTTTCTGAAGAATTTAAAGCTCAGGTACCACTTTTCAGTAAAGGAAGACTTCCTCGGAGTAGAGAGCTCCCTGCGAGAGAACGGGCAAAGTGACAGTGGAGACATGGCCTTTGGGCGCTACACACGTCATCACAGCGAGTCCACAGCACTCATCTGCTTGTCCTTTCTGCTTCCAGCTCACCATTCCGGTCACCTCTTGACCGGCCTTTGCTTACACACATTCTCAGAAACCAAAGGAGTTCTTAGAACACTTGATGTGAAATGTAGCAGACAGATGCCAGCCTATGAACAAGGCCAGTAGGACAGTGGTGTGCTTGATACAAGAGCACACCTAGAACACACATTAACTGTGGCTTTTTCATGCGTAGTTGACTCTATATAAACTGATTGACACCTTTGGGGGTCGTCTTTCCACCGACTCATAATTTTTCCCACTCTTGAAAAAGATTTCTGTACACCCAGTATTCTCTAGTTAAAGCTGAAAATTCAACTCATCATATTTACACAATAAAAAAAATCCATTCTGCCTTGTTTTTAATTGCAAATTCTACTCTAGGGACTCATTCTCCTGCTTAGGAGGCAGCCCTGTGCCTTCTCTTGGAGAAGCAAGTGCAGTCAATTATGGTAATGAAATGTCAATAAATATAAAAATTTAATACAGTCTGCTCCGGGTGAGTGGCAGATGAGGACTTGCCTCCCAGACAAATTTGCTGCTGCTGCAAATATTAAATGCACCTGAAAGAGTATCTGGTTGCCTGAGAGCTCTCCAGTACAAAAAGGATCAGGTACCAACTGGGCTTTCCCATTATGCTATCATTGCAGCAGCCAAGCCAGTACCATCATTGACAGCTATCGCAACATCTTAACTTATTATTGTAAGCTGAACTTTTTATGTCCCCACGAGCCATCTAAGACTGGTGCATATAGCACCTTTCTTTTCTAATTTATTTTTTTAAATTTTTTTAAATGTTTTATTTATTTCTAGGAGAGAGAGAGACAGCATGAGCAGGGGAGGGTCAGAGAGAGAGGGAGTCACAGACTCTGAAACAGGCTCCAGGCTCTGAGCTGGCAGTCAGCACAGAGCCCAACGCGGGGCTCGAACCCACGAACTGCGAGATCATGACCTAAGCGAAAGTCGGACGCTTTACCAACTAAGCCACCCAGGCGCCCCTATAGCACCTTTTTTTTAAATGAAGAAGAAAATAAGCCGTTTTTGTTTTGTTTTCCAAATTAAGAAATTCTTTTTCTTTTTAAATGTTTATTGTTTTTGAAAGAGAGAGAGGGAGGGGCCAGGAGAGAGAGAGGATCCCAAGCAGGCTCCGCTATGTCAGTTCAGAGCCCAACTTGGGGTTCGAACTCAAGGACCCGTGCAATCATAACCTGAGCCAAAAGCAAGAGTCAGATGCTCAGCCAACTGAGCCATCCAGGTGCTCCAAGCAATTTATTCTTCATAATAAGATCATTGCTGTCTTTAGAGAAAAATGTATTAATAACCATATGAAAATAGTTAGTAGTCATTGCTTTGTAGGAAGCAACAAGCTTAGGAATAATCTATATGTGATTCTTTCATCATCCACAAGCATGCATTCTTTAACAATGACTACTTTAAAATATAGTCCCTTAATAAAATAAAAATGGAAACGTATCTCTGCCTTCACTTTTCTCATGCACTAGTTAATGTCATCACATGCTCACAGTATGCTATTCTGGATTCCCTTTGTATGGATCGTACATTTTTCTTTAAACTTATTTGGGGGAGTTAAGAACGTTAACCTAAGTGGGGCGCCTGGGTGGCTTAGTCGGTTAAGCGTCCGACTTTCGCTTAGGTCATGATCTCGCGGTTCGTGGGTTCGAGCCCCGCGTCGGGCTCTGTGCTGACTGCCAGCTCAGAGCCTGGAGCCTGTTTCAGAGTCTGTGACTCCCTCTCTCTCTGACCCTCCCCTGCTCACGCTGTCTCTCTCTCTCCTAGAAATAAATAAAACATTAAAAAATATATATATATTAAAAAAAAAAGAACGTTAACCTAAGTGATAATGTCATTTCACAACAGAAAAAGATGAAAGTATAGACCTGTAAAATGTAGGTAGGCAAAATCTCTTCCCTACAAACCTTATCAAAAAGTTTTTTTCAGAGTAATTATGATACATTTCAAAATAATAGGATGTCTCAAACCATTTTCACAGGTAATGTCTCCTCTGCTATAAATCTATAGTGCAATCTGATTTTATGCACAATTCTTAAAAGTTTCGAACAAAATGTGTGTTTCTGATTCTGATGGTCATGAAAACTGTCATTCCGTGTTGCAGGTGGACTATTCCATAATAGCATCACAAGCCGGGGCCACCCTCAACAATCTCATGAGTCACGCACAGGATTTAGTGGCAAAGCTTCGCTCTCTACAGTTTGATCAACGAGAGTTTGTGTGTCTGAAATTCTTGGTGCTCTTTAGTTTAGGTAAGGAATCCTTTCTCATTCTATGCACAACCAAATGTTACTATATGATGCCAAACTCGGAGTGTCTTGAAGTCAATACGTGTTTTTGTTCTACCAAGGTAATGCCCTTCTTTTCAAATCATGAAATCTTCAAGCACAAATATATTATAATGTATATATTTCTGCATGATTCATAGCCTGTTAGTAGATGGGTTAGGGTGTGGAAAAGGAGTTATTAGACTGGAGTCCTGAATTTTCTCTCATAATGGACATAATGAGTAGGCAGTGGCTATATAAAGCTGTGACAAAAGGTTGAATGGCGGTGGCATAGGAAAGATGTATGATATCAAATTGTTGCCATCCTTCTGCTGTGGATCATTTCTATGTGCCTTTTGTTACAGCCTGCAAGCTACTGCTGTTTTTAATGTAAAATATGGAGAGTAATTAAAAACCTGTTTCTGAAATCTCTATCAGGATTAACCAGAGAATGTTTACAACCAGATGCATCACTATGCAAGTATAAAAGATGATGGTTGTCAAGGGGAAAGGATGCTTCTTTAGGAAAGCTTTGGAGAAGAAAGATAACTAAGCAAGACAGATTGGCTAAATCAAGGTTCTCAGTGAGTCAGTTGAGAAAAATCACCACTGCTTGGAATAAAAAAAGGATTAAGGAGATGGATTTTCATTGACTTCAAAGGAACAGATTTTTCTGCCTGTCCCATACTTGATTTCTGTATTTTGTTGGCTTAATAAAGCCAACTTAAATAAACTTTTTGCCAAGTCCGTTTATTACTTATTGGCAGAGAGCTGAGGGAGGTGACTTCCCCCAAATGAAAAAAATGCAGAAATCAGATTTACCAACATGTGTTTTTTCTTTAGTCTTCAGTTAGAAGATAGTTGTGAATTCATAGCCTAAGAAATAAAACAATAAAACAAACTGCAAAGTAAAACAGATGTGTCTGCTCTCCAAATTTGGTGCTTTCGTTTTAAAATTCTCCTTGACAGTCCTGCACAACTGTTGCTAATAAAGGGATAGTTTGAAGTAATAGAACCAGAGTTAATTTTTCACATGTAGTCAACATTTAAAATAAAAAGAACGTTTTCATATTTTGGAAAATGTGATAAATATAGCAAAGAGAAATGTTACTGAAAATTTAAAAAGACAACAGAATTTCATAGATGTAGTGTTCAAAGGTTTACAGTGCCAGGACTGGGTCCTGTGTGGTTTCTCTATTAACCACTATAAATAGGAAGGTTCTATTCAAGTGAGTCTACATCTTTTACCCATGAACAGTGTTTAGAAAATCAAGAGGAAGATCGCACAGGCCTACATGCTGTAATCTCACAAATCATTCTGGTTTATGGCAAGATCTTAGCCTTTTCGACTAGCACATTTGATCAGTAATTAAATGGAAAATGTGGTAATGTATGTGTAAGAAATCTTACAGCATCTTAGTGATAAAATATTTAAAGAGAGTCATGTCACTTCAATGGTATTTTAAATTAGTTGAATAACTGCATTGCATTTGAAGATGGAGAGATTAACCATGAGCCATGTTTCGTTTTCATCCCTTTTATCTTTCCTTCATCATTTTTCAAAATTATTATGTTCTCTGCCAGTACAATGGAGGTAGGGCGTGGGATGGTGGTTCTGATGTGCTTGCAACCTCTGAAATTCACAAATTACCATCCTGAACCATAGGGCCATATATTTACCAGAACCTCAACCACACGCTCTCATTTAATTGAGTGTGTTCACTGTGTCAGAAGCCTGGACACCACTGAATCACTAACTCATTGTCCCTTAAACTACGCCTGTTTGTTGTTTGGCGGGGGGAGGGGGGGAAGGAAAGCATGATTTTTGTATCAGAGGTACATAGAGTTTTGTCCAAGAGTTTATTTTTAAAGAAGCAAGAAAACAGTAGCTGGCAATAAAGTTCAGGTAGTTTCCAATTTGCATATGGAAAACACTTTCCTCCAGAGAAACAATAAGTAATCTTCTTTTGACAGCTTTATTGAGGTAGGGGGCTAATTAGCCTTCAGGTACCCAGGCTAGCCTCAATAACCTGTTATTCTGTAATGGGAATGAAATCCTAGAGCCACTCTCGAAAGCCACACCCAAGTCCAGAGTCAGTACCCACTGTTTCAAACCGTCAGGAGCCTTGCAAACCCTACCCCATCCCACTCCACCCCACCCCAGCCCTGTCACGTCTGAAAACTGATATGTTCTGGACCCAGCCGATCCTTGAGCCTCTCTGATCCTGGAGGAAAATGAGGACTTTGTGGACTGTTCAGTGGTCAGGGGCTGCGTTGAAAGAGGGCGATAGTAGTATTCTCTTTGTAGGAGATGAGACGGTGTTTCCCATCTAGATTTGGTGAGAGCAAGTAAGATGTGAGCCCAAGCAGGCACAACGTTTTAAGCCAGAAGATTGGCTGATGCAAAAGCATGAAGGCAAGTGAGCAAGATAAGTTCAAGGACTAGTGGGTGATTCAGTATGGCTTGAGGGAAGCCTCCGTTATGCCTGGAGTGGTGGGCAAGAGCCCAGTAATGGAATGCCTTAAAGCATTCAACAAATGTGTACTGAGCAATTTACTAAGTTTCTGGTGCTAAGGTAGGCATTGGGGATGCAGTGGTTCACAAAAATAGGTGCCCCGGTCATTCTATGGGCAACTAGGAAGGATAGACAGATTCTTTAAAAAAGGGGTGAGGTGGGTAACATAAGTTGATTTGCTTTTCTGTTAGTGATGTGGAAAGATTACTGGAGAGGAACAAGGCTGGAAAGTATGTTCAGGGGTGGTTTTAACACATATAGGATGCAAACCATGGGATATGACACTTAGGAGGAAGAAGTCCCACATGAGTCCCAGCTTTCTGGGTGCTTGAACCAGCATAGAAAACTCTAGAAGAGGACGTGCCTGGTGGCTCAGTCGGTTAAGCCCAACTTGAGCTCAGGTCACGATCTCACGGTTCATGGGTTCAAGCCCCACGTCGGGCTCTGTGCTGACAACTCAGAGCCTGGAGCCTGCTTCAGATTCTGTGTCTCCCTCTCTCTCTGCCCCTCTCCTGCTTGTACTCTGTCTCTCTCTTTTCCTCAAAAATAAATAAAAGTTAAAAAAATTTTTTAAAGAAAACTCTAGAGGAGCAGTAGCCAATTAGTTAAGCCAAATCAAGTTCCAGTAGCAACCATCCTCCTCCTAAAAGTCATTTTTCACTAAGACCGATTTCCTGATTGTACAAGAAGCTAATGACAGGACTGAATGTAAAAGTACAGTTGGCTAAAAATTTTCCATTCTGCTGCCTGCTTTTTTTCTCTTCCTCAAGTTTTTCTCTTCCTCAAGAGCAGATATCAATTGGTTAAGCTGATTGAAAAAAAGTAAAAGTAAAAAAATGCCCATTCTCTCAGGATATTTTTGTGTATATAATATAGTAGGCTCTGAGAGCCCAGTCTGCTAGTTGTTATGCTTTCTTTTTTTTTTTTTATTATTTTTTTTAATATTTTTATTTATTTCTAGGAGAGAGAGAGACAGCATGAGCAGGGGAGGGTCAGAGAGAGAGGGAGACACAGACTCTGAAATAGGCTCCAGGCTCTGAGCTGGCAGTCAGCACAGAGCCCGACGCGGGGCTCGAACCCACGAACCGCGAGATCATGACCTAAGCGAAAGTCGGACGCTCAACCGACTAAGCCACCCAGGCGCCCCTGCTTTCTTAAAATACTGTTAAATTAATATGCATGTATATATATTCCCCTATGAGATAACATAATTGTTTTAATGTTTTTTTAAAATTTATTTCTGAGAGAGAGAGAGAGAATGACAGTGTGAGCAGGGAAGGGTCAGAGAGAGAGGGAGACACAGAATCTTTAGTAGACTCCAGGCTCTGAGCTGTCAACACAGAGCCCGACACGAGGCTCGAACCCACAAATCGTGAGATCGTGACCTGAGCCGAAGTCGGACGCTTAACCGACTGAGCCACCCAGGCGCCCCTGAGATAACATAATTTGAATCCATCAATAACTTGGCCCAAAAGGAGATACTATATGTTGGCCATTTACAACTGATGACTTAAGAAAAGAAAATTTTTGTTTTGTTTTTGTTTTCTGTTTTTCTCTTAATATTTTAAAATGTTTATTCATTTTTGAGAGAGAGAAACAGAGAGTGAGCAGGAGATGGGCTGAAAGAGAGGGAGACATAGCTACTCCCTGTTAGATGCCCTTCACAAAACTGCCACCTGAGACTTCTTGGTACAAAGCACTGAACATGCTTAATTCGAGGACAAAGCTGGCTGCAGGGCTCTTTGCCTCATCTCCAGGTTTGGTTCAGGCATTCTTTAGTGTCAGATCACATCTCCTTTACTTTATTATTATTTTTTTAATGTTTATTTATTTTTGAGAAAGAGAAGGCGTATGTGAGTGGGGAAGGGACAGAGGATCCCAAGCAAGCTCCGTGCTGACAGACAGAGCCCAACGCAGGACTCGAACTCATGAAACATAGAGATCATGACCTGAGCCAAAGTTGGATGCTTACTGACTGAGCCACCCAGGCGCCCCAACTCCTTTACTTTAAAGGAGTTAAACATATTACCTCTAAGATAAATTACCATCCAAGCTGTTGGTGAAATGTCTAAGACTTAAAGTAAACAAAGAATGCTCTACGGTTGTTCTAGTATTTTTAGCGAAGCAAAGGCCTTTTATCTATCAGATTAATAAACTAGAATGTCCATGAACCCAGGAAGTCTATCTGTTTTGCTCCTAGCATACCACTTGACATAATATAGGTTTTTAATAAATATTTATTGCATTCATGAATGAAAGAAGGCTTTTCCTTCCAACTTCTAAGTTAAAAAAAAAAAAAAACAAGTAATGGGAACCAGAAAAATTAGCAAGAACAACAATAAAAATGCAGGCACAACATTTTACGAAAGGCTAGAAAATAGATCCTATAGATAAATGGTAGAGAATTTGACATCTTTTTTTAGTTTAGAAAATAAAGATATAAGTCTTCACATTATGAAAGGGGTTTTT